GCTTCTGCCGGGGTTCGGTACAAAGGTGCTTCCCCTGCGCCACGGGTCTGCACGACCCCGGCGGGGCTCCGAGAGCCGAGGCCCCTCCCAGGGGGGCTTGAGCCCACGTCCTCTTCTCCCCAAGGGGGTCCGTGTGCCCCGTGTGCAGTAAGCCAGCCCTCACGCGCGGAGGCGGGGTGGTGTTAACTCACCAAGGTGCGTGTATTTGGGTGCTGTGTGGCCTCCCACCCAGCTAGCACACTCAGCAAGGCTTTCTCTAACTTTTATACATTACAATGAACATATCTAATTAGTAAACATTGTATTAGCTAATCATACCTATCGTTGGTTCATAATTTCTTCACTTTGATTTAAAGGTACCAGCTGATTTTAATTTACTAGGCATGCTCGAGGGGGCGGGGGGTTGTTTCTTCTGGCTTCCATTTGAGTTGGTGGTTGCGATCTCCCCTTGCCCTAATTACCTTTCCCCTAGTTTTTGTCCTTGGCACATCTTAAGTAACTCTTCATGATTTACTAATCAAGGCAATAATGCATCAGCTTGTCTCCTTTTCAGTTACTGTAGCAATCTATTAACTAAACAAAAGCATAGATAGGGTAGGGCTTCACAATGGACATTCTACAGCAGCCTTAATTTCGGATAACAGTACCACTCGCCTGGAGAGGTGCCCCCTACCCTTTCCTTATACCCTTCCAACCAACGCCAGCTGGGAAGGGATGCAGGATGTAAGGTGTGGGGGGCAGAGGGATTCCTGCTCGGCTTCCAGGTGGCACAGCCTCGCAGGTTAAACAAGGTTAAGAAACCTTTCCTCACCCCCACGCTACAGCCTCACCAGCGGAGCTCAGCCAGGTTTGCAGTGCAACTCTGCTCTTGCCTTGCCCCTCTTACCAGTGTTTCAGCAGTACAGCGAGGGATACAAAACCACATCCTCTAAAAGTAGCCTGCTAAGCACACCCCAGAAAAGTTACACAGTGGAGAGCAAAGCGAGGAATTCCATATCAGATTGAAAATTCAGAAAGAAGTTTAAAAAAAAACCCAGGGGGCTACTTTCTAGCACCTTCCAGGCCTCCTTTCTCACCTGTGGAGCAGCCAGGCAGGAGGACAAAGTGCATTTTCTGTGGGTTGACCCCGCTAAAATGAGTTCACAGGCACCCTTGCGATGCGGCGGCAGAGCTGTGAGCCCCTCTCCTCCCTGCCCAGCCCTGGGTGTCCTTGTTGGAGGCCGAGGCTCTGCAGGGCACGCAGGGGAAGCAGCCTGGCCATCCCGTGTGGGATCCCAACCAGGCAGGGTGCTGAGCTGGGCACGGCCTCGGCTCCTCACTCTCACCAGCCAGTGTCCCAGAGCTACCGTAAACCTGAATGCATAAAACCAAACTGGGCACCATGATAGGAACACCCCAAATAAATTGTCAGCCATAGAGAACACTTTCCTAGGAGCATCCAGACACAGTTGGTGTGGTTTGGGGCTCTCCTCTGCCTTAGTTTTTCTCTGTAACTTTTCCCTTCCCTCTTCACTGAGTCTGTTTTTCTCTGTATTTCATATCCTGCTTTATTTCTCCACTGTCTTCTCTCCTCATTTTTCTTTCCCTGTTCTGTCAAAAAAAAACCCCAAATTCAAACCTATGTCATCTATTTGTATCAGACATAATTATCAGTACTTCAAATACTGTTAAGATTTGGCCACAGAAAATTAGCATTACAAGATTTATTTATTTTTATCTTTTATTTTATATTTGAGTCTATCTTAAAAGCTCCACTCACCAAACACTGAGGAGTGGGTCGAGTATGGCGACCCCGATCCATTTGGGATCATCACCCTATCCCCTAAAAATGGGCACCTCTGCCCTTTCAAAGGAATTGAGCAGACCTTGCGCCTTCTTCCCAAAGAGGAGGAGGGGGAAGAGGCTCGCTCCCACCTCCCCCTCCTTTGGTGCTCTAGCCCAATGGTCAGCACGCTCGTCCAGAAAGGGGAAGCCCAGCTCTGAGCCCCCAGAAGAAGACCCACACACAACCTGCCAGCAGGCTTTAGGGGTGTGCTTGGTCTGGGCATGCAGAGAAACAACCATGCCTCCGCTCCGCCAAGGGCCTGAAATGGAAATTCAGAAGCCCTGTTATAACATCACAGACATCCCGTTAACACCCAGGTATCCTGAAGCATGCTGGGGTGCTTATCCTGCACTAAGCCTGGTTTACAGCCACATTTTCTGCCTCTGACTTAAATGGATAGCTGCTCTTTGAGAGGACATCGGTCCTTATGGTGAACATTTGGGCCCACAGAGGGTGCCCCATACCCGTGTCCCAGGGCCCTGAGGTGGAGGAAGGCTCAGCCTCACCCAGCTTGGACTGAACACTCATCCTTGTTGGAAAAGTGGCCAGCCGAGTGATAGGTGGAGCCACAAATATAGATGATGTAAGAACTTTAATTCAGAAAATAAAGAGCTACCGAGCATTCTGGCAAGGCAGGACGTGAGCTAAAGTTTTTGGGATCACAATTTTGGAGCCCTCTGCAGGCCCTCCAAAGTCTTTTGGCTCTGACCCGCAGTTAGCACCTGGGAGGCAGAACTGAAGACTTAGCTGGCAGTGCCAGTTTTGCTGTACAAATATTTTGTCAGAGCCTGGGCTTTCAGGAAGACCTGCTGGTTTAATACTCATCTTCTGTGCCTGAATACCATTCACACCTGTGGCTCTTGCATGTTGCTGGTCAGAGCGTATTCTGAACACCAGAAAACAAACACATAAAAAGCATGAGCAGAGAGCATGGCTCATTTTTTAAAAGTTGTTCAAAAATATTCATTTGTATTAGGTGAGATTGTTGCCCAGGTGAGCTGAGAGGAACCAGCCAAGGACCCTTGGCACCAGAACCCCTCCATTCCCTCCGGAAAGCCTGAGCCCCATCTGGGGCAGAGAGTTACCAGAAGAGGGGGCAGAAGCCCAGATCTTAGGAGCAGCTCCATCACATCACTTGGTGGGGCTCGGTCACAACTTGAACAAAGCATAACTCTTTCTGCCCAGGACACACATAAAGCAATACACAGTTTCCCCCCTCCCACCCAACTAAAAATACATCGTATTTATAAAGCATGCTTCCCCTATTTTTTTAATTCAGCTGCAGCAGGAAAGAGAGGACTGTTTTTACACATGGCGTACAGGCAGAAATACTCCAGCCAGAGTGGGTGAAAGCTGGCAGCATTGCAGTGAGACTGAAATATAGCTGTGGCTCAGCCCTTGGAGATGGCCTGGCTTCTCCACCCCCCCCGGAGAATTTGCTTCTGGGCATCTATAACCTATTTCTTCCTTTTCCCCCTAATCAGGGATTAGAAGGAAGATGAACCACATGTGAGAATGACTCATTGATCATCCAGGTGACCCACTGATGAGGAGGAAAAGTTGCCAATAAAAGGGTCCTGCCCCAGGGGTGGGGGGAAATGATGTTATGTAGCTTGTTTGCCTTTGGGGGTGTGCTGTAGTGAAGAACAGGCTAGGCCACAACAAGAATTTTTGAAGGTAATGGAATATGTTTTTCACTTATCATGCACAGTGAAAGATTTGGGGTTATTGTGGACTTTATGTGATTTTGTAAGTTAGCTGCATTTGTAGCATAGTGTGTCTGCAATGTGAGTAATCAGAGTATGAAAGTTGTTGTCTGATAATAGGGATGAGGAGTTACGGCTCGGCTTGCTTGGATTTTATTATGGGCTGGGATTTTTTTTTTCTTCCTTCCCTCCCAAATCTTATTCTGATTTTTCTTAAATAATTAAACATCTCTATAAAAACTATACAAAAAGTGGTTCCACATGTTAATCTAGTGATGGATGTTCTTGTATATTGCAAACAGCTGTGCTGGAAGCCAATTGTCCTATTTACTCATAGATTAGAAATGTTATTTAAATGAGTATTTCTTGCCACTCCAATTACTCTAACTAGACTGAATTTCCTTAATCTTGAAAAAATAGATGGTAATTTGTGTTCTTTAGTCTGCATTTGTGCTGTCCAAGTCAATTCTTCCTTTTCTTGGTGCAGAACACCTCCAGTATTCTCCCAGCAGCCAAAGAATATCCCCAGGGAATTAAGAACTTTGTATGAAAACCCCTGGGAGCAGTTTAGGTATGAGATGCTGTGGGCTGCAGGAATTTTTCAATTGTTAGACTTAAAAAGAAAGAGAGCGCTAACTTGGTAATGGAAGAAATTAGAATACAGATTCCTCTTGGAAGAAGAGGCAGGCTTGGCCTCAAGTTAGCTTTGAGGTAACAGTTATGGTGTTTAAGAAAGTCTTATTGAAGAAGAGCCACAGTGCTTCAATCCCAAATACATTCCAAGGAGCAGGGAAAAAGCCTCTCTTCTTTTGAGCTCTTCATATCTACTTCAATAAGCCTTTCTTGACAGGTTGTCAGGCCACTCTGGTTTTACAATAAGGCCTCTCTCGTAAAAAGTAGGCTGTAAAAGGGTAGTAGTAGTAGTAGTTAAAAATCGTAGCTCTGCTATTAATGAACTGTGGTGTGTGGCTCCCTCTCTTTCCTCAAGAAAAGAACAAGCTTTCCTCTTCATGTGGAAGAGCAGAAAGCATAACTCGCCTTGCTGTTATTGTCTCGTCTTGCTGTCAGTCAGCTGTAGCCCAAGCACCCAGGTAATTTGAAGATCTCCAACCCTTTGCATCTCCTCACCCATCAGAATGTCTGGACGTGGAAAGAAACGCGCAGTGCCGGGCAAACCTGGAGCTGCCTCGAAAAAAACCAAGTCCGCCAGGGCTGGTCTGCAGTTCCCCGTGGGTCGTGTCTACAGGCTCCTTAAAAGAGGGAACTACGCTAAGAGGATCGGTCTTGGTGCTGCCATCTACCTGGCTGCAGTGCTGGAATATCTGAGCTTGGAGATCCTGGAGCTGGCAGGGAATGCTGCCCAGGAAAACAAGAAAGCCAGGATTGGGCCCAGGCACATCCAGCTGGCCGTGAGAAACGATGATGAGCTGAACAAGCTCTTGTCCTGTGTGACCATTGCGCAAGGAGGGGTTATGCCAAATATTCTTTCCCAGCTCTGTCCCAAGAAAACTGTCAGAGATGCTGCTCCTCCTCAGGCACAAAGTGGTAGCCAGTGAAACTTGCTTTTCCTGGTCTGGTCAGTTATGGATGATGGGACTCAGTAGCACTAATTTGTATGGTTTTGCTTCTTTTTCATGTGTTTTTCATGCTAATTTTAATGCATTTCTAAAGCTTGTAATAAAGTTCCTAGAATGCAACACTGTTCTCCTTTCTTTTCTTGGGTCCCCCTCCAGGGTTGGAATAACACAGAAAATGTCAAAATCAAAGTCTAAACATACAACCCAAATAACTTTTTTTTTTTTAAAAAGTCAAGTACGTGTTTAATTCTGGAAGTGTGGAGCAGGCAAAGGAGTCAAGACACACATGTAAACTTTTCCTCCATTACAGACTCACAGTGCAGTAAGTTCAGTGCCTCAGAGGTTGTTCAACTCCACTTTAAAAGTTAGTAACCCTGTGCTTTAAGGTCTTACTGCTCCAGTATGACACTAAACCTCTATTCCCTCCATCTTGTCACAAGAACTGTAGGTAGCTTATTGAAAATGTGGTTGGTAGAGGTGACTGTCTTGCTTCCATCTATCAGTGCAGAAAAACAAAGGTGTGTCTATCCAAACGAGCCCTAGGCCTTTGCTGACCAAGAAATGGAAAGTCTTCCCCCAGGGGTTTCTCTGTTCATAGTGGGTGCTGAGGCTTGCTGTTGAACTGGAAACCAGTGATCTGCTGCAGTGGCATTAGGATCAGTCTGCCCCCAAGGCAGTATCTTACAGATTTCATATCCTAGTGTCCTGGTTTCAGCTGGGACAGAGTTGATTTTCTTCCTAGTAGCTGGTATAGTGCTGTGTTTTGGATTTAGTACTAGAATAATGTTGATAACATGCTGATGTTTTGGTTGTTGCTGGGTAGTGCTTAGACTGGCCAAGGACTTCTCAGCTCTCAGCTCTGCCAGGTGCACAAGAAGCTGGGAGGGGACACGGCCAGGACAGCTGACCCCAACTGACCAAAGGGCTATTCCAGACCATATGGCATCATGCTCAGTATATAAGCTGGGGGAAGAAGAAGGAAGGGGGGGAGATTCGGAGTGATGGCGTTTGTCTTCCCAAGTCACCATTACACGGTGAATGAATTCCTTGCTTTGCTTTGCTTGCATGCACGGCTTTTGCTTTACCTATTAATCTGTCTTCATCTTAACCCATGAGTCTTCTCACTTTTACTCCTCTGATTCTCTCCCCCGTCCCATTGTGGGGGGAGTGAGTGAGCGGCTGCGTGGTGCTTAGTTGCCAACCAGGGTTAAACCACGACACTGAGTTGAGAAGAGCTGGCTAGGACCAGCTTCCTAAACTGGAACATGAACTTATTCAAATGAGATCTACCTGTCCTGTTGAGTTTGACCTAGCTCCTTTGCCCCCTCAAGGCACAAGGGTGTCGGAGCCTCCTGGCCAGGTTTTGTGATGCTGACAGACATCAGAGCTGTATGCAGCTGAGTTAATGACTCACTCCCAGCAGTACGTACACAGAAATGGGAAGAGAGGATACCTGACTGAGCCGAGACCATGATTTCAGGGTGGTGGGCAGCTGGAACAGTCATTGTATGTTGCCTGGTTTTCAAGAGCAATTTGATGAGATCTTGGCTGGCCTGCAATTAACCTGGTGAAGCGAGAAAATGTGGAGGATGCTGTAGCAATGAGAAGTAAAAACATCCGAGAGTAGATTTTAAGCTTTGTGCATGTAGTAAAGAAGTGCTGTATGTAATTAGCCTTGTGCTGAGTGTTTACGCCCATAAATGGGGGAAAAAAAAAGCTTTAAAGGAGGTACATGAGAAATGAACACATGAAACTGAAATTATTTCCTCCATTTGATCATGTCAAGGGAAAGCAGGCTTGGGAATGATTATTTCCTTGGACCCAGCAAAAATGTAAAGGTTTGCAGTAATGGTAGAAGACCCAAGCAAGGTACTAATTTTGTACAGATTTAAGCATGGCACTTACAGCACCCTTCTTGCTAACCTGGAGAACTGTGTGTCAGTCATCGTGCCGCTCCTGGGTGGAAGCTGCTCCTGTGAGCCTGTTCTGCACCACACCAAACAGACCCTGCAAGGCATGGCAGTGCTTGAGTAGCTTCTAGAAATGCCTTCACCTGCCATTTTCTGTATGATCAAAGATGCTGAGTGAGCTGTGTCCCCTACCTCTACTTACACCCAAAGACAGAGTTTGTGGTGAGGTACTGGTCCAATTCAACCATCACTTTTTTAAGTATTTCTTTGATCATGAACAATCTCGTTTGCTTTCTTCTAGCCGCTGGTTCAACCCATTTGTAAATTAACCAGATAGCACAGTGATCTGAAAACTCACCCCTCTGGCCCCACAGAAAAGGAAGGTTGATGCCTCCTAACCCAGCTGCTCAGCAAAAGCTTGTGTTGGGCCCAGGCTCAACTTCCCAGCACTTGTGGATTGAAGAAAAAGAAATTATTCAGCTGTCACCACTCCCTTGACCCTAGAAAGGACACATTATGCCTTGCAACACAGCTGTGTGTGACTTTGAAAAAAAAATGAACTGTATGACAGACAGGGGCAATTCCTAGAAGAGAGACAACCCAATGTCAGAGGTCCTGAGCTTTCCCAGGTTCTGCAGCATGGTCACAAAGCAGCTTGGCCACTGCTGGCAGCACAAAGAACAGTGGTACAGGTTGCTGGGTTTAATTCCTGATGGCTGTAGCAAGGTGAGGCCCCCTTCCAGCTGTAACAAATTAACAGCCTGTAAGAGACACTGCAGTTCTCTGAGACAGTAAATACTAGGCTTGTTTCCAGAGGAGATCAGCTAACAAGGTGCTAAGTAGCTTTACAAGGAGTAGCGACAAATTCTCATGCTCTCAGGGACTGTACTGAGTTGCTCTTGTGCTGGGACCTTGGTGGTTTTTTATTTTGAGTGGCTGAATTGTTGCTCACCAAGGTGGCATTAAATGATGCAAGACCTGGTAATGATATGGCTACCACCGTGGGGTATAAAAGGGAGCAGCTCTTGCTGGAAATTGTGGTTTGAGTAGTGGTGGTGTTGGAAGGGAGGCTAAGTCAATAATTTGTTTGGGTAAGAGTTTGTTCCTAAGAAATGACAGCATGCTTTCTTTGTGTTAGATGAACTCCTGAGAGAAATAATGGCTTTGTAAGTTCTGTGTTTGGTATAAGGCTGCTATTTTATTTATTTATTTATTTGTGTAGGCTATTTTTATAAGCTTATCTTTCTAAAGCCTATAAAAATCTCATAAAAGAACTTTCAATTGTGTTTTTAAGAACTTCAATTTGAAACCTGATTTAGTTCCTCCCTGTATCTAGGTATTGCTGCTCGTTACTTAGAAACAACTAATGATTAAAACTTGAGAACAGTTTTGTATACTAGAGCAGAGTTTTCCTGTGTTTGTTTTCCCGTTGTGTTGTGTTATGCATTGAAGAATAACTGATGCTATTCAGCACCAGAGACTTTATGTCAGTAACAAGTGATGGGGCTTGTTAGAGTGGCTGTGATACCATACAAGAAGATGGTGCTTGTGCATTGGCAGTAGGCTGGTGCAGAGTGTGCCAAGCAGAGCAATTTCAGTGTCTGATGTAAACCAAAGCTTGTCTTTTTCCTGACTGTAGCCTGCTATCTTGCAGCAATAGGTCCCCTCACTTCTAGAAGACAAGATCCATTTGAAGCGGTATCTAGTAGATGAAGTTCATGTCTGGTGTTCTTACTTCAGACAAAGATATGAATTTCTAGCTCTGGCTCTCACCAGGTCATCGCTGCAGAAACTGCTTAGGTTCTTACCAGGGGTAAGTTCAATGAAGCTTCCCTGCAGGGATTCTGAACACTTGTTCATCCTGAAGCCTAGTTTGCTTAACCTTTCTCCTTAACAGCAGTCCTTCTTTGATACTGGATCAGAAGACCTTGCTTCTAAGTTCTACCCTACTCTCTTGAGAAGTTTTGGAAATCTAGCAGATGGCTGACCTGCTGCTGTGATTGAGCTTGTAGACACTTCTTGGCTGGAAACTTTTCAGGCTCTCCTAGAGCAGCATCCTGACCCATCTGCTCCTTCAGACAAAAGTATGAACAACCAGCAGATTTTCTGAGAGGGAAAAGCTGACTTGTAAGGGAATTAGAAAGGCAGTGAAATGAGGAGGAAGAAAGGACTTAAATGCTCAGTTTCTGTGTCTCTTTTGTTGTTGGTGGTGTTTTGTTTTGTTTTTTTTTTTAATTCTTTCTCTCTTTATACTAGATTGATGTTAAAATGTCTGAACACGGGAAGAAAAACACAGAGCTCCTCCTTGTGCCAAAGAAAACCAGATCATCCAGGGCTGGTCTGCAGTTCCCCGTGGGTCGTGTCTACAGGCTCCTTAAAAGAGGGAACTACGCTAAGAGGATCGGTCTTGGTGCTGCCATCTACTTGGTTGCTGTGCTGGAGTACCTGAGCATGGAGATCCTGGAGCTGGCAGGGGACACTGCACGAGAAAACAAGAAAGCCAGGATTGGGCCCAGGCATATCCAGCTGGCCGTGAGAAATGATGATGAGCTGAACAAGCTCTTGTCCTGTGTGACCATTGCTCAAGGAGGGGTGTTACCTAATGTTCTTCCTGAACTTCTTCCTAAGAAGACCATCTTGCTTAAACCATCCCACAGATATGTCCAGTCACAGGAGTTCTAGCTGCCACCAGGCTCCTGATCTGTGGTGGTGTTAATGCTGGCTTTCTCCACAGCTCAGAGTTTTTCATGCTGGTTGGCATTTTTGGCCTAAATTTGTGTGTGTATGTACTGTACATGTGTCTGAAAAGCTGCTAAAGATGGGGTTGCTAGTTAGGTTTCCCTAGCTATGTTCTTCAAAAGAAAAAAAGTCAACAGACTACTTCTATTAATACATAAGTGTGCAAAGGACTTGTTTCCATCTGATTCCCTTCTATAAAGTATTTGCTGCACCAAACAGAAGATGTTCTTTGACGGTGCAGTTATCTAAGGAAACCTGCTCTATGGTCTTTAAAGCTTGTGTCTCCATCTGCATGGCTGGGATCTCCTTATTCAGTATGTGTAAAAGTCTGCTTCACCTGACCGCTTCAGACCTCATCATGAGCACAGTTAACTATACAGGGTAAGCAGATGCACCTGAGAGACATAAATTGGACTGCCTTATAATGATGGCGAGGCTGATGAATTATCTTCTCTAACATTTGGATGTGGAGGTAGGGCTGTGCTGTAACTTCAGAGCATCACTGCACATACCTTGATCCAAAGATGATGTTGGAATTGTCCTCTGAGTTTCTGCATTGATGGAGTGAAATCGGAGGAGTCTTCTATAGACAGTATATAAACCTTGCCAGTGCTTGAGCCTTAAAGATCTTTTTGGAAACTCCTCTTAAGAATGAGTCCAAATATAACTTCTACCTCTCTGGTACTGAGAATCTCCTTAGCTGCTTTGAGGCTCATTCCATTAGGATCCGATCAAGGAAACCTGTGTGTAAAAAGGCAGTGCAGGAAGAGGCTTTTCCAGGACCTGCCAAAACTCATGTCTTCCGCCTATGCAGTTTGAAAGGCTACCTAAGCACTATGAGATCTGCACTCTGGATTGCAACATCACAGTGGACGCACACTAGGATTAATTTATTTGCTGTGCTGCAGAAAATTTTAACAGCTTCACCAGCAGGATGCCACTGAAATTTAAGAGCCTGCACTATTAGGTGTTTGAATTATCCTGTTCAGAACAGGAAGGCCCTAGTGTCTACCAGCTTCAGATTACCATTGCTCAAGGAGGGGTGTTACCTAATGTTCTTCCTGAACTTCTTCCTAAGAAGACCATCTTGCTTAAACCATCCCACAGATATGTCCAGTCACAGGAGTTCTAGCTGCCACCAGGCTCCTGATCTGTGGTGGTGTTAATGCTGGCTTTCTCCACAGCTCAGAGTTTTTCATGCTGGTTGGCATTTTTGGCCTAAATTTGTGTGTGTATGTACTGTACATGTGTCTGAAAAGCTGCTAAAGATGGGGTTGCTAGTTAGGTTTCCCTAGCTATGTTCTTCAAAAGAAAAAAAGTCAACAGACTACTTCTATTAATACATAAGTGTGCAAAGGACTTGTTTCCATCTGATTCCCTTCTATAAAGTATTTGCTGCACCAAACAGAAGATGTTCTTTGACGGTGCAGTTATCTAAGGAAACCTGCTCTATGGTCTTTAAAGCTTGTGTCTCCATCTGCATGGCTGGGATCTCCTTATTCAGTATGTGTAAAAGTCTGCTTCACCTGACCGCTTCAGACCTCATCATGAGCACAGTTAACTATACAGGGTAAGCAGATGCACCTGAGAGACATAAATTGGACTGCCTTATAATGATGGCGAGGCTGATGAATTATCTTCTCTAACATTTGGATGTGGAGGTAGGGCTGTGCTGTAACTTCAGAGCATCACTGCACATACCTTGATCCAAAGATGATGTTGGAATTGTCCTCTGAGTTTCTGCATTGATGGAGTGAAATCGGAGGAGTCTTCTATAGACAGTATATAAACCTTCCCAGTGCTTGAGCCTTAAAGATCTTTTTGGAAACTCCTCTTAAGAATGAGTCCAAATATAACTTCTACCTCTCTGGTACTGAGAATCTCCTTAGCTGCTTTGAGGCTCATTCCATTAGGATCCAGATCAAGGAAACCTGTGTGTAAAAAGGCAGTGCAGGAAGAGGCTTTTCCAGGACCTGCCAAAACTCATGTCTTCCGCCTATGCAGTTTGAAAGGCTACCTAAGCACTATGAGATCTGCACTCTGGATTGCAACATCACAGTGGACGCACACTAGGATTAATTTATTTGCTGTGCTGCAGAAAATTTTAACAGCTTCACCAGCAGGATGCCACTGAAATTTAAGAGCCTGCACTATTAGGTGTTTGAATTATCCTGTTCAGAACAGGAAGGCCCTAGTGTCTACCAGCTTCAGATTTATTAATCCATCCAGGTAAAAAGGCTATTTAGAGAACTGCCTCAAGATGTGACCCTGCCAGCCCAAGGTCTGGGAGCCTCTGTTTACCATATCTGCCTCACAATAATTCACATTATGCTGCTGCTTTCTCTAGTGTAACTCAAATATCTCCCTGGTTTTCTGATCATGTGAAAGTTGGGATCTTTTGAAGAATGGGCTCCAGAGGGTTCACTTCTTTGTAGAGGCAGGCTAGGGCGTTTAAATGAAGGGCAAGAAGCCAGGAATGAGGTATGGTGGGACTGCAGCCAGAGGACTTTCTGTACGTGAAACCTCTAGCACCTGTGTAAGCTGCAAACACCTACTAGAAGCCATGCTATGAGAAGGCGAAGCGAGGAGAGTGTTGCTATCAGGTCAGTCTCAGTGTAAGTGGCTGCTATGGGCACTGGTGATTTATAGTGTGGGTGGTAGGCAAATGTTTTGAGCATAGCCATAAAATCAGCCATTGCTACCTGTGTAAACATGGCAACTTTTGGCTGGAAAGCTACAGGGTGAAACAGTGCTGACCTGCACTATAAACCAAACCTTCCAAGCTGCTGTCTTAGACAGCAAGAGCAGCTCCTTAGGGGGCTGCTGCATGTTTTCTTACAGCAGTTTCAATCAACACTGACCACATGAGCTGTATCTGAAGAAAAACAGCCCCCTGTTTCCCTGTCAGGCTGACAGTTACGTTTCATGCTGTGGTGGCTCAAAGGCTTGCTCCTGGCGTGTCCGAGCCAGACACCCACAGTGTGGGTGCCCTGCCGCAGCGTGGGCTTGTGCAGCTCCTGCCACGCTGCACCGTTCCCTCTGCTGTGCCAGCACAGCTGCTTATGGCACCTGCTGAGAACCAGGCTGCTGCTGGGCTGGTGTCTTACACATTTTCTTTTTTTTTATTTTTTCCTTTTTAAAAAGCAAAACTTTCATCCAACTACTTGTGTGCCTTTCACAGTGGTGCTGGCACAGCTCAAGGGATTGCATGAGGGCAGGAAGAAGAAGCTGAGGGTGGGATGATGGCTGGAACTGCTGAGGCAGGGATTGCCGCCACAGTGTGGGCTGTGATTGTGAAGCCCCATGGGAATTTCAAAGGTCTCTGCCTGGAGAGAAGCTGTATTGCACCGGGTATGTGAGTTGAGATGACCCATGGAACAGGAGATTTCAGCAAATGCCTGTGCCTATAGGAAAAATTGCCGAAAAAGGTAAAATTAATGGAGACCTCTCCCCAGGTCTCAGCTCTTCTGCAGAAGAAGCAAAGCTTGACCCTGGCTTGTGCAAGGGATTGCCCCTTATCTCCAGAAGCTGTATGGGCTGTGCTGGGACAAGCTTCCCAAGAGGTGCTGCTGCTGCCCAGTGTTACAGGACTTGGCCTGTGACCCAGACAGAGGGAAAGTAGCCATTGGGGTCATGCTGGCAGGTCTCTCTGTTGCCAAATAACTGATTTAATAAATCTTCTATTAAACTCATCTAGCTTTACCAGAAAGCTTATGTAGGTTTAAGCATGACTGCAGGGTGGCTGGCAAGCTCATGGCATCCCATTGCTCCAGAAGCAGCAAGCGTGGGAAGATGTGAGTGCTCTGGGCTCCGCAGCTCGCGTCTGCTAAGGAGTGGGAGGCATCGCCTTCAGCAGTGGCTCACCCTCACTTCCTTGGTGAAACACAACAGGAGAACAGACTGGAGGAATACCAGAATGAGGAGGGGGCATGGGGTGCTGACAGGTCCAGGGAGAGCCACAGAGAAAGAGCATCCCTGGAGGACATGGGAGTCTCAGCAGCTATCATACAGCTCTGCGCTGTCTTTAGTAATTAGAGCTGGCCTATGGACATACTGGTTCCCGAAATATGCCTTGCTGTGGCTCTCCTGGTCTGTGCTCACTACTGCAGCTTTTCTGTTGTGCTTCTCAATGTAGAACCACCAGTGTGTTCACTCCTGCTTTTTTTTGTGAAGTCTCAAGACAACTGAAAAGATAATGCCTGACATTCAGATATTAATGTGGGGGAGCTCATTAATTCCCCCAATTCTGTTTCTCTCCTGCAGCTGTGAAGCCTATTTTGTCTGTCTTTTGATGATACATATGCTTGCAACATTACGTGTGCTTCAGTGGGGTACTTTTAGTCTTTGATTAAAGAAACCCCTTGTCAGCTTGAATACACGATAAAACATATATTCAGTCTTATTGCGTATCCTCAGCCCTGTTCATTGGCAGGTTGTGCACTACTCTGCCCCAGATAAATACCTTGATAATTTGTGAAGCATGTGGTTTGCAAGGGCTGTCCTAGCAGCTGGGTCAGACTCTGCTCCTATTTTCACCACTGCCACTAGCTTCGCTTCGTTCTCAGTCTTTCTTCTTCAGCTCCCCTTGCTGTCACAACTTACGTCCTTCTTTGGCTTCAGGGGGCAAATTGCTTATTAACTAGCTAATGTTTATTGACTATTTTGAGGCTGTCAAGTGTTAGAACTACTGGAAATTATTGTTTTGTTTATTCCAGCAGCTCATTAGACTCCCAAACAAGGGGTTATATGAAAAGAGTGCGTGGGAGAGAACGACACAACCATTTCCAGCATTTCAATGAAAAGCGTATTCTTTCCAGCTTGCTCCAACTAGCTGTGTGGCTTTTTTTGCAGTGCTCTGCGTAGCATCTGTGAGAACGTTTTTGCCAGCAGTATCGTGGTGGGGTTTCTTAATCATTCTACTCAAAAAAAGCCGAGTTCACTTA